AAAATACATGTTACAGTGGTAATAACAGCAGTATATAGTGACTTAAGTCACAACATCCGGCCATTCCGAAAAAAACGCTACCACTGAGGGGATCCCCTCGAGGAGAAGTCGCCAGCTACGAGTTTCACTGTACAAAAGTAAAAGAACTCTCTCCCAATCCCAATACCTTCCTCGCTTCTGCTCATATGAGGGCCCCTCGCTTGTGGCCCCTTACGGCCGGCGGGAGTAGGCAAACATGGAGGCGCTCATGGGGTAGGCGTACTACGTATACGTTTATTACGAAATGTAAACATATAGTGGCAAAGCCGTTAGGCATCAAACGTGTCCCCGTCTCCGCGGGGTCGACTCAATTTTTTCTCTCTGTCTATGTTTGAGGGGGAAGGGGGGGGGGTAAGGCGTCTGTTTTTTTTAACAAGTGGGTTTTCACTCGGAATTTTCATTTACAGAGTATTACATATTACGTGTATTACGTGGTATGACGCTGGCATTACACAAGCTTTGCAACTAAAATTCTGCTATTTTGGGGCATATTTTCCTATTTTCGGTATCACATTACGCGTAGTATTTAGTTTAGGTGTGCAGTGTATAACGCAAGTGAAAACTCGTCGGTTTTTTAACTGCAATACTGTCCGCCACGGGCCTGTCTGCTCAAACATACGTGTACTAAGACATTTTAGAGGTAAAGTACCTCTAAAATGTCTTATATTCTCGTATGGTTGGGATTGGCCAGGCTCGATTGGAAGTGTGTCACACGAACTGCATTCCAAAGTGTGTTTGACACATGTCACACATATCTATCTCACAGTCACAGAGAGGCGCGTAGGTGTCGTAAGGAGAGCGAAGCGAGAAAACGCAAATATAGCGTACGACAATGTACCAGGTGGCTCTTGCAGTCATACATTACCGCACGTTTGGTTTGCCTACCCCAGGGGGGCCGAAGCGCCCTACGGGCAGTGCAGGTAGGCAACCCGCTCGCACGCCTGCGTGCGGTACAGCATAACCACGACGACTGGCGGCTTTGCCTACCCCAGGGGGCCGTAGCGCCTTACTGGCAGTGCGGGTAGGCAAACCGCATGCACGCCTGCATGCGGTACGGCCAGGATTCGTCCGAAGTAACGAAAGGCTCTCGGGGGCCTAGTGGAGACAATCGAGCGTTCAGGGGAAGCTCCCTTCTCTGCCTCTGACTGTGGCACCTCTATCATTTTGCTCGAAGGCCCATTGATTAAGCCCTCTCTCAAGCTGAGACTCTGCTCGAGCAACGTGCACTCGACGCGAATGGAAGAGGTGCGTAGTCCATGGCTTTCGGTGAACCGCGCTTACTGGCTCGCTACGTGAGTTTAGAACCCCTGCCCCACCCCACCAGTATCCTCCATGCGTTCGTTCAAAGCGCATCAGGAAGATATCCACTTAGCGCGACTTGCGACTATCCCAGTACCGCAAGCCTACACTGTGAAAAATATCGTCGTAAATTTACAAAAAACTTGTAAACTCGAATTATAATTTAAGTTGTAAATTTACGACAGCACATTTTTTACTCGCCAATGGATTTGAAGTCGATGCATACTGCATGTATTTTTACGATTACAAATTGCTATTTTACAACTTGCGTCAAGGAAAATTTTCCTGTAAACCTACCTACTTTTTTCACACTGTATATGTCGAGGATTTTTAGAGGTGAAGTACCTCTAAAAAACATTAAATAATGTTGTCACCACGAACTGGGAGAACGAGAACGCGAGCAGGAGTGCGTTAGACAATGTGTCAGCAGAGGCAATAACAATACCCATGAGGCTGCTCTGTATTTGCGTTGTAGATTTAGATTGTGGGCCACTGAGCACAAATTCTTAGGTTGCGAGCACAAACTAACTGTTCCCGACGAGTTGTGTCATGATGTCACTAAAGCAGTGCAGTCTAAATCTACAACACTGAGAGTGGTCTTTGTGTCGGGAGAGCACAGGTCAGCATGTGATGCGGTCCGGCTGCCGTTCTCCCAGGCATCCTGGTTCCCTAAGGTAGGCAAACAGGCCAGTCGTCGTAGTGATGCTGCACGGCACGCAGGCGTGCGAGCAGGTTGCCTACCCGCAAGACCCGTAAGGTAATTTTTTTTAGAGGTACTTCACCTCTAAAAATCCTCGATATATAGACTTGCAGTACTGGGATAGTCACAAGTCGCGCTAAGTGGATATCTGGGCAACCTGCTCGCACGCCTCCATGCCGTGCAGCTTTACTACGACAAATGGCCTGTTTGCCTACCCCAGGGAACCGTGGCGCCTTACGGGCACTGCGGGTAGGCAACCTGCTCGCACGCCTGCATTGCGTGCAGCATCACTACGACGACTGGCCTGGTTGCATACCCCAGGGAACCGTAGCTGCCTCGATGCAGGGCTCTGGAGAGGATGCCTGGGAGGAGGGCAGCCGGACCGCATCACATGCTGACCTGTGCTCCCTCGACACAAAGATTACTCTCAGTGTTGTAGATTTAGACTGCACCGCTGTATGAGTGACATCTTGACACAACTCGTCGGGAACAGGTAGTTTGTGCTCGCAACCTAAGAATTTGTGCTCAGTGGCTCACAATCTAAATCTACAACGCAACTACAGAGCAGCCTCATGGGCATTGTTCTGCCTCTGCTGACACATTGTCTAACGCACTCCTGCTCGCGTTCTCGTTCTCCCAGTTCGTGGTGACAACATTTTTAAATTTTTTTTAGAGGTACTTCACCTCTAAAAATCCTCGATATATAGACTTGCTGTACTGGGATAGTCTCGTACTGGGTCTCACAAGGGTAGCCCGCGTGTACGCGGGGTAGCTCACGGTGCCGCGAGGGTAGCTCGCTGGGGTAGCTCGCGGTCTCGCGGGGGTAGCCCACGGGTCCACGGGGGTAGGCCACGAAGGGTGCGGCCACCCCGTGGGCTTTGCGTGGAGGTTTGCGGAGGGAGAGGGGGGGGGGGAGGAAGGGAGCGAGTGGAGCTCTGCGCATCTCCAATGCGCAACTGCGCAACCAGCGCGCGCTGGCTGCGCACCTCCACCGAGCTCAGCGACCGGCCCCGGCTGCGGGCGGGCTAGCCTACCTTTACAAAAACAACGGCGCGGATCACCCACCCTGTATACATGTCACATGTATGTCGGACCTACGACTTCAACCACCACATGACATACATGTCCCCGACGCGTTCGTATGGGCGACTTGTATGTCACATGTATGTCACATACAAGGGACTTGTATGTGAAGGGTTTCACGGGTTACCACTGTAACATGTATTTTATTTGCATGTAAAATACGCTTTCTGAGGTAAAATTCATTAGAGGTAATTTGCTTAGAGGTAAATTCCATTAGAGGTACTTTGCTTTAGAGGTAAATATCCTTAGAGGTAATTTGCTTAGAGGTAAAAATCTTTAGAGGTAATGTGCTTAGAGGTGCTGAACTCAACTCGTCCAGAAAGTACGCTCTCTTTTCGCAGATTCATTTGGCAAACAGCGGGAGCTCGGCGCCTGCGACTCTCGGGGTAGGCCACCCCGCAGTACACGTATGCACCGTAGGCGAGATGTTGCCTACCTATCAGGCGTCTTGAGAGCTTGTGTGAGGGTGAACTTGGTGGTTTTGCAACGGCAAACGACGAGACGGACGCACTTTTCGGGTGGTTCCGCAACAACCAAATTAAATATCTTACATCAAGCGTGCTGAAACTGGAAGGATTGGCCGTGATATTCCTCTTTTAGAAGATTACAATTGTGCAGTGTTTGCAAGTTGAATAATATCAAAAAATACGCACGACCATATGATAGCGCATTGGTGAACCGCAATTGTTTGACTCGAACCCCTAGCAGACGTGTCATTTCCACGTCAACCGCCTGACCTTTGTTTCGCGTACGTCTTACGCGTTACACTTTGCGATCGACGCGCGAGGACGAGGCGAGACCGGGGGGACCGGTGCCGTATTGTGCTATTGATTGAAGTGGCGCCTCTGTTTACCGCCGCTACCAGCACACGCCCCCGGCTCCCGAGCACGGCCCCGCCCCGCCCGGCCCCGCC